ATTGCTAATTATGCACTTCAGTGCGCCATCTCGGACTCAACTATAACTATGATTGAATCTCAATGCTAACTTTAATCTTATAGAAAAGGGCTGTCTTTAAGATTTTCTCGGCAATTATTCGAATTTTTCGCAATATAAACCATCCTTGGACTTTGACAAACATTACAAAAAAGAATTGGTCAAATTGGTCTAGGCGTTGTTGGGTTATGCGCTTACCAACAGATTTTGCGTTTTTCATTTTATATTATAGATTTGTAATGCCAAAACAGATCGCGTTTTGAAAATTTTGTGGAAATTTAAATCAGAATTTTTATAAAAATATAATAGGTACTTTACAAAATACTGTGCCAAAGGAATATTAAATACCAGCAGTATTTAAAAATGCAAGCTAAACAAACGCTTTCTTTGTGGCGCAGTGTTGCTCCTAACTTGGAACCGTGTGAACTTATGGTACCTATAAACTATTTATTTATTAAATGCTTTTCTAAATGATATCTCTGAGTTTGAGCTAGGAGGTGTATTACCGTGGGGCGCGACAGGAATAATAATCTAAAGTTGAACTTTACTCAAAGTATACGAAATTTACGAATGCTTAGGTACATAAAATAAGATAAAATATTTCATAGAATTGACTTCAACACTCGAGTTTTTGCCCAAATTTAAAATAATAGGTATCCAAATTGCTGCCAAGAATCCACAAGTGTCACCATTATCAATTATCAACTCAATAAAATAAAATTGCCTTTCAATAAAATGTCACTAATTTTTGAAGCACTTGGCATGTAGTTGTTATGTTTATTTATGACCATAACTTCAATCTAACATAAGCACTGTGGTTGTTTCGGCCCGCCCGCAAACCGTCGAGAATTTATCCGACCGCCCCGTCACATCCCAACCATTTCGGTAAATGAATAAACTGTCGCAGTTAATATAATAAAAAGCGTGAAAAATGTTGCGCACGCGAATATGCAAATCGCGCGCGAGCCTTGCGGACAGCGACGCGGCGTCATGGCGCAACGTAATGCGCAATTAAAGAGGTCATTAGGGTCGTCCACGCCGTCATAAATAATCACGAGTGGTGCGGTACACAAAGCGCAAAGGGCCGAGCCGAGAGCTGCCCCGGAATGGCGCTTTTATTGAGTGCGCGTACGCGGGGCGGCTCAAAGCTACATCGGGGATGGTTACGATGCTGACGACGACGACGAAGAGTACGAATGTGCCGGGTCGGAGGCCACCGCCACGATCGGTGCTGGTACGTGACGGCTAACGCAGCGCTGTTAACCCTTCAAGAAGACGACGACGACGACAAGTAAGGGATCTGCATTAATTAAAGAAATCGGGAAGTGTGGCCGAACAAGTGGCGTGCTGAGCGATTTATTAAGATTTTAACTTGAATACAAATTTTTCTTGCATGAATTTTACTTACCAACGAAAAGTACTTTTACGTAATTACAAGTCTCTCCACTTTTTTACGAAATTAGCATTAAATTAGTTACTTTTTCAAATAGTTAAATCAGTTTTTATAAAATCCACAAATACTCGTATTGCAATCTGCTGGTTTTTTCTAGCGTTTCAAATCAAATAATTTTAGCATACGGTGACCATTTTCTTATTGGAAACGATTAAATTAGATAAATATGAAAAGTTTATGTTTTTAATACAATTCTCAGCATACTTGTAACCTAAGTTGGAGTAACGAAGTTCATAAAATTGCAACAATTTTGTTTTGTACTGTAACTCTACTACCTCCACTTATATTATTACGTAAAACTAAAATATGCTTCTAAGATCAGCGAAGCGTGACAAACATAACCCATTTCTTAAAGATAGTGCAAAAAGGAAAGCATGGTTAAGTACGAGCGTATTCGGCCTTCCCATTCGAGTCGCTAGTCGACTTATCGTCCAAACATACATTCGGCACATTTACACACCACTATTCATATAAAAGCTACCATTAAAGGTCTTATTACTTAACCATTGGTGTTAACAAAGCAGTACTATTATATAAAAACATTTTCTTAGTTGTGAACTTTTTTCAATGTTACGCAAAGTGTCAAAAGCACTGCAATGCAACTCAACATGTGCAACATTGTGACCTTATATAACATAATTCTTTCTCGATTTAGAACCGTTGAAGTTAAAGTGTGTATATTTTATGTATTTAAACACTTACCAAAGAAACGAATCTTACGGAAAACCGAAACTTAATTTAATACTCCCTTGAGTTAGTTTAAAGCAGCAACTCACCTGAAAAATAAACACGTTGTGAATACTTAACGACATCAGAAAGTTTCGTTTAGTTTAGCACGGAAGGATAAAATGACGATTTTATGTGTAAAAACTAAATCTGCTCGCCCAGACGCGGTGAGAGAGCGTGCGCGCGGGGAAATGATGTGCGAACGCGAATTTGAAAGTGTCCCTCTCATCTTCGAACACTCATAAAATACTTTACGGTGGCTGGTGTCCTTAGCGCGCGCGAAAGCAGGAGCGAATCGCATAAGTGCGCGGCCAAAAGGAAGGGAAAGCGTGTGTTTTCGCCGGCTTCGCATTCAGACAGCGCGCGCGTTGGCGCAAAAGTCCTTGAAAGTCGCGCGTGTTGGTGGTGTGTGTATACGTATTCGGCGTGATTTAAAAGGTCTCCGGATTTCGCCGAGCGTGCACACGCACGGGGCAACGTGTTTCCATGCGCCCACCGCCAGCCAGCTGGTGCGCCCATCGGCGGTTCACTTTTCCGATCGATCCTTTGACCCGAATACCGGTTCGTGCTTCTCCGGACACGCTGTCGCGTGCGAAGGCTGCCGCCACCAGCCAGCCAGCCAGCCAGCACTACTACGCGCGCTACGCGAAAAGCGTGGACTCCCCGGCTGAAGTGGTCGCGAGGTATCTGTGAAGTGCCGAAGCGAGCCTGAATTATCTTCACCGTACTCTCGCTCGAATTCGATCGTTTATTTCGCGCAGCTCGAAGAGCCTGCGAGGACTTTTTCTCGGTTACTTCGATTGCACCCAGGGACTTGCACTAGCGTTAAACGAATTTACTTCGTGCACGCGGGGCTTTCTTGCGTCTTTCTTGAGTAGAAGACATTTACGGTTTCATAATTATATTAGTTCTTGCTTGCGTTTAAAGTATGTCAATTTGAAAAGCTGCTTTTGTTTAGTACCATAGATTTTCTTCAATTATAAAAATTACTTTAATAAAAATACTTTTCAGTCTATCTAAACATCAACTTACGTTGACTTTGCTAAAAATCCAAATTTTCGCAGCTTCACCGACTTTTTTTTCTTAAATTTCAATTGTGTTTTACATCCAATCGACAAAAACTTATTTTTGGCTTTAATGTTTGTGGTGTTTTGATACAATTTATTATCTTCGGAATTTTAGATTTTTAGTTAATTCTTCATCTTACCGTCCGCAGGGAAAAACAACGCGTAACTGTCAAGGTTATTTCACATTTAGTGTATTTTAAGTTGCATACTTTTAGGGGCGTTTGTTCTTTTCATGAAGATTCCTGGCCAAAAATTCAATTAAATACGAAAAATATCTACATAAACGCAAAAGTGTAACCTAATTGCCAGAGTAAATATCATTGGGACGTTTAATAATCGAAATTGGTTTAATATTGGAAAATATCCGCATTAATTAAGTGGCTAAATCAATCCGCTTTGCAGTCTTGGGGATGTCACAATCTCCCTTCACTAATTGGATTTTTGCTCGCGCATCAATAAGAAAAGAGACGCTGTTGCCTTTTGCCTGAATAACGAACCAACATCTCTCGAAATCGACACCTTCTATTGTCCCGTGCACAATGAAAAGTGGATCACCACGCAAATTTACTCCACCGTATTGCCTAATGCGTTTGGCCAAGAGGATGAAGAAAGGTTTACTCAGGCGACATTTACACGTACTCGGTGCTTGTGTAGATGCGATATGACAATGACAGAAATTGATCAATGGAACGGATGCCATGGTTACGAATAAGAGAAGGAAGGTAGTAATATTGAAAAGTTGTCGCCGTCGTTTTACATACACGGCGCGGCGCGTGCACGCAAACAAAATGCGCCGCCACCAGGCGGCCGACGCCGCCGCCGCCAGCCAGAGTCGGTCGCATCGGCTTTGCTTGCGTAAATCGATAGCCCCGCCGCGGCGAGCGCGCGGCCTTTCGTTACAGCCGCGCGCCTTTACCACCGTGTTTTTCTCTTCCGCTCCGCGTGCGTGTGCCCAGCTCCTCGATCCACATTCGAACATCCACTTCAATCGACGAGGACTCGAATAATGTGCGAATAATACCCGACGTGAAAAGACGTGCATGCGATAAGAATACTTTATGTTTCTAACTATTCAAAACTTCATTGATCATGTAATTCATCAATATATTGTCATTATCAACTTGACCCATCAGAGTTGGATGCTTTTGCATTTCCATACAGAATCCCATCATATTATAATATATATGATGTAGTTAATATGCAAATTGACAAAGTCTAATGCATTGGACCAAAATCGAATGACAATGATGGAGTCGGTGCGGCGCTGGTCGAATTGAAAATTCAATTAAAGACGAGCCGAGAACGGTGGGTCTACCTGGCGAACTGGTGCGGCTGGCGAATGTCTTTCATTAAATGGCCGATGACGACCTTTGTACGCCCGCCGTCGAATCGAACAATGCAGCCAGACATTGGCATACGGTGCGAGATAATTGATACAACGACGAATGTATCATTCAATTAGCGTGCGGAATCCATGACACAATACAACATCATACCCGGAATAAAAGTTAATAGCAAAAATGTACAAATTTGATTTCTTCAAATGATTTTTGAAATGCATTCATGCCTTATCAATATATTGTATTTTTATATGAGAAAATGGTTGTATTATTACCTTTTAAATTGAAATATTGTGTCACTACTTTTGAACAATGCAATCATTGCGCTTTAACTTATTTTTTTCATTTAAAACATAACCTTAAATTTTTAATTCAGTTATGAGCAACACAATAGGTTACCAAATACACACCGTACAACTCGACACAAGCTCTTGTTCAATGTGATACTTAGTACCCTTATACAACATAAACTAGCAATAAAAGTTTAAATTTAACTGTGCACTTTGAACAGAGAATATTTTAATTCTCGAAAGGTAATATTTTGATATGAAATTATTTAAAAATTCAGTAACTTATTAAAATGTAAATTTTGTAGGTTATCCATTTGTAATAGCTTCATCTATGGTAGTCAGGTTATGAGTTAATCGCATGTAATTCTTAATATCACCGAGATATGCGACGGGGATGATGAAATTTGTCTAGTTTGCGCTCGGTGGCGGAAAGTGGAACGAAGCCAAGTCGAGAGAACATGCGGTCACCCACAACGCCATGCACACGGCCAGCGATGATGTCGCCGCCGACACCGCCGCCTGCCTCAATTCGTCCGGCCGATGCGCGCAAACATTTACTTCCCACAAGCATAATAACGTCATATTACCGTGCGGCGACATGTCCACACTCGTTCGTAAGTACAACATATATCCACAACACACGCCCACACACATGATAAAACTGTCGCTAAAATACTCATTTTCAGGCGATGCCCCAGACACGCGCACTTGTTGGCACCGAACCGGATTAATACAGATATACCGTACACCCACAAAGTGCAAGCGAATTGTGAATGACACGGTCAATTTAATCAGCATCACTCAGAGCTTATACACCACTCGCGGATTTTACACATTATGCCTGCTGATGATGTGGATGATTCATTTCTGAAGCGAAAATTGGAGCACGCACCTGCGCGGCTGGTGGGAAACGTCCACCGGTTTGAGTGACAGTAAATAACGTGTTCGATTGAGGGTAGACGCTTGAGCATCTGATGCATTAATCTGCACTTGCTCTTATCGGCGGAACTCGTGTCTGCCGTCATGTGCCCAAGGCGACGATGATGTGCACTTTATATTGTGATTAATGGAAACGATTTTCTATAGCGGACATTTATGCTGTAATCCATTTAGCGTAATTTATTGCAATATTGGTGTACCGCTCAACTAACTTCGTTGAATACATTTGTGAAGCGGTGCGTGCCTATTGTTTTATTGCTACACGCGAATTGCCACTCGTAAAACATCAATTGGAATTTGGGGTCGACCGACACCCAAATACTGGCAAATCTCTAAACCAAGGTTTAATTATTAAAATTTATGAGCTTGTTTGATACCATGATACATACCACCCACCAAATGTAATAGCTGAAATCATCGATCATTGAATTTTGACAAATTGAGGTTATATACTATGATCTATCTATTAATTTAGTGGTGTTTAGTTTTTATGCATCGCATGGTCGAGTCATTAATCAAATTCAGCCGCGTGTGTGGTGAAAAAAAGAACAACGCAAACATATTATAAATTTTCAAACACAGACCTTTTTAGGCCGTTGTTGTGGGTTGGATATAAGCGAGGGTTGCACTGGACGCAAATTCCATTAATATTTGAACCGAATTGCAGAGTGTGCGGTTCAAAAACAAAACATTTTGCAGTGCAAATATTTAGCACGCATATTTCAAATAATACATAAAACAATGATTTAATTACATTCATTAAATAATTAAATATTATAACCGATTAGTGAATATTCAAACGTTGAAAGAGTGTTTCTAAAGATAGATTTTTAGGTTAGGATTTCTTGCATCTCTTGACAATAAAAACTAAGCCTTCGCGTATAGATAGCGAACTTTTACAGACAACTGTCCGCGTGCATTCGAGAAAACTTTGGTCGTCGGTGGATATTTGTGCGTAACCCGCAACTCGAAAAAGAAAAAGTTTACCGCCGTACCACTGGATCTGAGTTTGATTTAATTATAAAATTCTTAACGATTATCGACATTTCTAATTCTGTGTCTGGGCTTGTAAATGTGTAAAATTTTACATTCTAGTTTGTAAGTTGGAGTCGCGTTGAGTTGACGTGCGAGACGCTGCTCCTGAGCGCATCCGTTTTGAAAGGATGCCGCGCTGCAGGTCGTAGCAATAATAATACGGCCATCAGTGCGGAAAACAACGAACGCACACAAACGCGACAATAGGGACCTTTTCAGTTGACCTAAATCGGCTTTGCTCTCGTTCTGGTTTCGTTTCGCGACGCGCCTCGCGACCGTGTCTCGCACCTACGCCGCACGTGTATCGCAGCGTGTTTTGCAGTGTGATTAAACCACCACAAGTGCTCCCATCCACTTGGCACCACCGGCGTGGTGGAGTGTGGTGGTGGTAGCGCTGCTTCACTATCCTGCTGACACGAGTACGCTTGTGTGCGTAATCCTGCCGCGACCTGCCGGAGTTTCCCGGAGAATAGGTTACTCTCGCGTGCGTTTGTAGGGCGAACGACGCCGAAAAGTAGGGGATGATCGATAACTGGCAGGCTGGATGGCTGCTGGATGGTGAAAGCAGGCCGTAGAAGAGCGCCAGGTACAACCTTCCGACCTGTACTACATTTTCAAACTAGTTTTACTCCCATACGAACCAATTTGCGATTAATATACATCAAATAATAATAAAACCATAACATTTATATTATTTTATCAAAAATTTAGCTAAAAAATAACAATTCTAATTTTATGTTGGTAAATTATAATTTTCTAATGATATAATCATTATCTACTACAAATTGCTGAATTTAAGTGCCACTTGAATCCGAAAATCATCGAGTGTTCACTTAAGACCACAATGGCTATCCGTCAAACATTAACTCGAATAAATATCCTGATTAACAATCAAGTTTAATTCTTACGATGTTTAGAATAAAACAGCGTCGATCTGCGTGACGCTCCCGACCATTGGGCGCCCAATTAATCGCGGCCAGTTTAGTAGTCCTTCGTCAGGATCTGACTCCACGCAGCACGCATGTCGCCGGTCTTTATGTCCTCCATGTTCCGATCATAATAAGCCGCTCGGCGGTTTTATTGTGTTGTTAGGGTATTCCGCTTTTATGCGTACGCTTTCGCGCGCGATAAACTCGATTGGCTCGTACGGAGAATAATACTCTGCTTCGTTCGTGTTTGCCACTTCGCGCCGGATATAAGATATCAAGTGCTGTCGTTATGGCGTCGCGCGCGGCGAGCGCTTAATTGAATCAAGGTGCGAGCCGTCCTCGTGTCGCCAAACGAATTAACTTCGGGGCGCATCCACCACGGCGTCGAGATAAGATTATCTTGACACGGCACGGCAAACATTTGAAATACGTCAAACTATTATGACTTTTATATACGAATTGCAAAGGAGATTATCTCACAGTCGACGTTTCTTTCTTTATCTCGGTATTAAGATTATAAGACCAGAATAATGTGTAAACATTACATCTATAACTTAATTATGATAAAGTGGATGCTAATATTATGTTACCACAAACGGCTGTATATAAAAGACAGTTTAAATTTTAACCTAGGAACGTAGAATGTGGAACGTGAAATTCGTTTTGAATTGCCTCCCCATGAAACTGTTCCAAATGCCTGTTGAATAGCATTAAATATTGAGAAACCTTAAAATTTTTAAAACCACTTAACCTCAAATATGCACCTTTTTAGATCAGAGGCACGAATACTGATATTAGCTGTCTGAAATCTAAAATATTGAACTTGTTAAAACTTGTTCGCGAAATTAATGCGCAGATAAGTGCTTAAGGGGTATTAATACACGTCAGTGTCGAGTGATACGATTAGCAAAGACACGCTGAGCGAATCTGCGTCGTGAAGATTCGCACCTTTCGCCGCCGTCGAGTGGCAGCTAATATTAATTTACCTCCATTAGTCCGTAATTAGCCCGCCTGTCCGCGGCTGAAGGAAAATATCAGCAGCCGCGCAAGAAGTGCAACCGATATCGATATCGATTGTGTGCGAGGCGCAAGAAGTTGCGGGGCGCGTAAATTGAGTAGTCCTCCGACGAAGTTGTACGAGTGTGTAATACAATAAGTGGCGGCGCGGGACGGCGGCACGTTATAAGTCGCTAAGAGGATGATGATGTGTATGTGTTTGTCGATGTATTTGTGTGATATCCCAGCATTCGAACTGCGACGCCGTGTGCAAATTATAAAGTCTATTAAACTTATCCAATTTACGGCGAATGACTGGCAAAACAGGCCACGCCGATTCGAAAACGATCGCGCTAATCGTTGACGGAAGTTGCGGGCCGCAGCTTCTGCTTACAAACATCCTACTTAGCTCGCGACTAATAGTCGATATATCACGCATCGCGCTTGAAATTAGCGGGTGTGACTTTTCGGCGGTGTGTGAACAACCGTCGTTTGTCACCTGAAACATTTCCACAATTTGTGTCATTAATTCTGTTATTTCCTCTTTACATTTACGCATACTCTCAATAATTACAAGGGAAAACGAGGAAATATATACCTACAAATTCTTTTTTGGCAATTAGGCATTTATTTTTAAATTTCCGTTACTAAAATTTAATGCTTTAAAAACTAACTGACGTGATTTAATAAGTGTAATACAATTTTATCTATATAACCTAGAAACATAACCTTAAAACAAAAGAAATGATTTAACTTGAAAGAAACTCACTTCCGAGCGTGGTTGTATTTTCACTTAGTAAACTACTGAATAAAGCCACATTTTAAAAGAATTTAATAGACCCAAGAGTCCTGCGCATCTTGGCTTCCATGAGTTCAAAGGTTCCCGGCGTCCTCGGAGTTATGGCGCTTCGCGATTACGGAACGACGCAACTTTCAAAGAGCGCTGTTCCTGGAGAAAGCGACGGAAGGATAAAATGTGTTCGCTGCGAGGCGGCGCGATGGATTATAATAATATTGTTCGATGGTGTCACACGCCACACTGCGATGACACTCGCGAAACACCTGGACCTTCACTCAATCATCTTTACAACGATGAAAATGAAATGTCCTTTAGATTTATAAGATATTTTCTATTAAAATTGAAGGTAAATATTTATTTTGAAGCTTTGTTGAAAATTATTTCGTTCCGAGAATGCGACGATTGTGAATCGAGGTCGATCGTACACGTTTGTGATACACGTGCCGTGCGACACGGCACGCTTCTACACGCGCACAAAATGGCTAACAATCGAAGATACAATAAATAATGAGCTAAAGCTTGTTGAATTGTTTGCATGGCTCGGTTGAGCCTTCGATCAATTGCCCGTTTGCATACACATGCTTTTCTAGCGCAAAGTGAAAATGCGTAATTTGCAGCGCAGAAAAAGCCCCACTCAATTATTCCAATTGTTTCGTTCCGGTCCAATAATGATTCGGACAAATTTTCATTAAAACAGCAGGGTGGAATTGTTGATTGTGGATTCGAGGGTAACAAATCGACGATGATAATCGCACACGCGCTTTTAGGGTTGGTTTCTGTTGTTGTGCGCAAGTAACGAGCTTTTCAATAGTGTTTTAATGGCGAAGTAAAAGGTAGAACCTTTCTTTACAAAGCTATTAGGTTTTGTTGATCTCTTCGCGTCCGCTGGGGAAGCGAAATAAGAGTCGCGTAGTCCTAAACGCCATAAAATCTCCGGGGTATATAAAAGCGCGTCGAGCGGCGCGGCGAGGCTCAACTGGCGATAAAGGCAAGGATGTCGGCGAAAACTCACGCGAGCAAAGAGGGCAAACTGCAAATAAGGACGAAAATCAATCTGAAAATGCGGCCGGTGTTCTTGCAATTTATGTATTTTTGTCTACCTCGTGTTGCTCATTGTTGTCCTATTTAAAGTGAATTATTTTTTCGGATGTTTCGAATAATTAAGGCTTAGAGGCGCTTGCGGCCGGGCTGTTAAGCTCTCGTAAAATCGAGGACAAATTTTACTTTTGTCTGGAGGTTGTGTACGGCGCGGATTTGCGGTTATTGCAGCAAAGGATTAGGTTGTTTTGTGAAGGCCCGTCGACTTGCACAATATTCTCTCGAGTTTATGCCACACATTATTTCATCCTTATTGGTTTCGCACAATGCCAAAAGAAGGCAAATAAACATGACGGGCACTCGTAAATCGTAGCGGACAAGGGGACAAGGTAAATGAGGTCTCAACGTGACGAAGAATAAAAGAGCGCGCCCGACGGACAGTATTAATTTTGTTCGCGCGCCATCCATCTACACGAAAAGTCGTTAACTAAATCCTTGTCAGGGTGGTGGTGGTGGGTGTAGGGAGCGTACCTTGCAGTCATCGCATTGGTGCTTGATGGAGTACTTCTGGCCGCAGTCGTAGCGGTACAGCACCTCGGCGAACTCGCACGAGATGCGAGCCGCCAACGCGTCCACCGCCAGGAGGGCGTCCAGCATGCGGGTGCACGTCGCGGCATCGTCGAGCGCCTCCGCGGGCAGGGCCGAGTCGACCGCGTGCTCGCAGCAGTGGCGCACCCGGAGCGCCCGCAGCCGGCGCCGTCTGTCCTCGGGCTTCACTCCTTCGCTGCACACCTCCTCTTTGTGCGATTCTTTCAAATAATTTAAAAGGCACTGAGTAGTACTGTTGTTGCTGGGTGGGCAGGGCGGACAGAAGGGCCCGGGGCTCCACATGTCGGAGCACGCGCCCTTCAGGTCAGTCGCGCTGGCGGGCTGCATGAGGTCGCACGCCGATAGCCAGGGATTGATGAGCTTGAGCTTGTCGTCCTTTTCGTCCGGAATGAGCGGCGGGGTGGCGGCGAACGCCAAGGCGGCCATCAGGAGCAGCGACAGGCCCGGCGGGGCCCGGGGCATTCTGCGGGGCAGGGCGCGGTGGCGGCTCGGTAGTCGGCAGCTACGGGAGCCGGGAGCATCGCTGCGGGCGGCCGGAGTGCCCCCCCTCGCGGCTCCGAACGCCCCCGGGGGCCGAGTGCCGGGGCCCGCTAGGCCGCCCGCGTGCGGGCCCCCCACAGCCCTCGCTCATGCTGCATGCTCGCCAACGCCGTCGCCGGTGCACATCACATCACTGCACTACACACTAGACGCTCCCGCGGTGGGCCGCCATCTTGAGAAGGTTCGGTGGTCACAGTCCTTCCCGCCCGGGCGCGAGCTGTGCCGGCCGTCTCTCGCTCGACACTGTCGCGGCCGCGCCGCGGGCCGACGCAGGCGCAGACGCGCACAGATCGATAGCCGCCCCCGAATCAATCGCGCCACCTCGCCGCCGCGGCCGGTGCGTGCCCGCATGCCGCGCGCGCCGCCGCCGCCTCTCGGCCCCTTCGGCCGCGCTCGGCCCTTTCCGCCGCCGCCACGCGTTTCGCCACGCGGCCAGGTGAGATCGTAGCAGCAGCAGCAGCTCGCCACTCGCCACTCACTTCTGCCAGTCTTGCCACTCTCGCCGCCGTCGGCCAACTGCCCATGCTGAGGCGGCCGCGTCGCGCCCAAACGCCAGCGGCCCATTCATGCGCCGCCGCCTGCCACCTCCACCGCGCCGCCACCCAATAAAACTCGCTCTCGCATTCATTTACGCTCTTTATTCATTAATATTTACACAGGAGTTAATAATACCTACTAAAAATATGTCGTACAAATAGTCATTAACAAATCAATCGTTGCTTGCTATCATATGAGACAACAGCAACAACTTGGTCGTGCCCCCGAGGGCAGTATTAAAATATATACTTTCGAACACACCATGTTTAGCATCCCGGACCCAATCGAGCATTTTATTACATCACATAATACGTATCAGATGCCAGCTTCTTCTTCCACATCTTCACCTTCGCATTCACATTAACCTGACGTTAGTTGTCCAAACCCGACTGGGGCACCAAAGTGCACAAACGTGTGTTGGGTTAAGATCACACGATTATTAAAAATAGTCAGTCGTTTACAAAACGAAACCGAGACGTCGTCGCCCGTCCATTTTATGTGTTACGCAGACTTAAGGAAAAACAGTACTAAAAACGATACGATCGCCGTAAGGGTACACGATGCGGCGAGTTGATGAGATCCCGAATCGGGTGCACGGGGTGCTCCATCCGCGTGATAAATACCTACAACACACAAAAATTACTTACAAAGCTATTCCAACATACACCACAAACACATCACATCATATCAAATTATATTATGTGACTTCTCAAAAACGTAACATAAGCAATGAAAGTGATCAGTGAACGAAATTGAATTTTTATTTTTAAAACAACATCCAAAGCAGCTCGTTGTTATTATTTTGATTATTCTCATTAATAAATTTCGAACGCCACCAAATATGAGCAAATGAGGAAATTTTGTTACGCAACGAGCAAAAACTTACATTTTTATCCAAGTGTTTGTAAACCAATTAAATATTTTTAGAAAACGTAAATAATTCAAATTAAAACACAACCAGATTTTTTTCATAACTTAATCCTAGGTATGTGGGCGTACTAACTAGAAAATAAAGAGTTGCAACCTACATATCAAACGAACGCACTTCTTGTCGATTATGGATAAGAGTGTGTGATGTGTCGCAATTCTAATGTCCGCTGGCTGGACGGTATTTGTACTCTGGAATATATCCACGTCCACGTTTAGTCCAACCAAGTCGTCGTAAAACTATTTACAAAATCTGGTTAAATTATACCATAACCAAACTTTTAGATTGATTTCAGCTTGCATCTTATATACAGCTTTAGCATGCTAGTGATGCGTGTAAAACAAAAGAAACTCAACTACTAAGTGAAAATATCTATACATTGTAAATTGGCTCTATAACTACATACTAAATTAATTAATCAGTGCTCGTTTAAGTACTTTGTGAAAAAATAATTATGAGTGTAAGGTGAGATGGTTAGCAAACAGAACAAAAAAAGCATGCACATATACATACACATATTGTCAATTAATCGATTAATTAGTTCGTTAATCAATTATTTTTGCTGAATGGCGGAGGAGAGACGACATTAATGGGTTACAATACGTAGTTAGTAATTCGATGTTAAGCGATACCTGAAAAATGATCAGTACCTGCGTCCAAAGAGCTATCGAAGTCTCCGGGTGAATTGTTGCTGTCGTCGCTCTCATCCGCCTCGCTTATAAAACCAAGGGTACCTATCGTGCCACGTGGTGCTTCTTTGCACCCGAACCACCAGTGTGCGGTGGAACGTGGGAAGGCAGGATTGGTGTTTTCTACGGCGAAGGCACGATCATTGAAGCGGTAGTATGCGTTGTCCTTGAAGAAATATGTGTAGCCATTTTTGTCCTTGAAGGCAGCGTCCAAACCGTTCGGTAGGCCTTGCCAATTGGAGATTGGTTTCGGGTAAGCGGACTTTACTGGTGGGTGCAGTGTTGGATCAAATCGCCAGAATTTGGAACCTGAAATATTTTGTATATTAGAAACTTGTTGGTAGGCGGGTGTGATATCATTTACCTTTGTAGAAATATATTTTACCATTTCCTGTCCAGACTGTTGCTGCATCAATGTCATCAGGAATACCAGCAAATCCAACACTAATATCCTTGGGATAGTTGCCGTCCATTTTGCTATCAACATATCGCCAGTATTGTTTTCCTTTAAAGAAGTACGTCTTTCCGTTTTTATAGGTAAAGGCAGCATCAATGTTTCCTGGGAGCCCTGGCCAGCTTTGAGCAATTTTCTTTGGGTAACCATTCAGGACACTATCTTCAGTCAATTGATAGTATTCATCACCTTTGAAAACAAACGTCCTACCGTCATGAGAGTTAAAGATAGTGTCAATTTTGGAATCTTTGCATAATTTATTGCTGGTAGGCCCAGGTGCCGATGGACTGTTGGTCGAATCATCATCACTACTGCCCCATGAAGGACTTCCACCGCCTTTGCTTGTCTTTTGCGTTTTCTTACCGTACAATGCCTGTATAGCTTGTACATCATCATCATCAAATCGAAATTTGGATCATAGCCTCGATAGAAAGGTGCCATTAAGGCTTCTCGCACGTCCGAATGGCTCAAACCAAGAGAATGCCCAAACTCATGAGAAGCCACCTGAAGGAGACTAGTTCCCTTATATTCACCAATAGTCCAGATCTCTTCGGCATCAAAATGAGCATCACCGCCATAAACCGGGAAATAAGCATGAGCCAAGGTACCGCCTGGTCCATCAAAAGGATCACCATCGCCATGCTCACCAGCCTCAAAACGGATTTCGATGTGCACCCTAGAAGATGGCGCCCTGCTTGACGGCGTGAATGTGAGGTCTGTATACCTTGACCAAACATTGAAAGCTGTCTGGATGGCTTTATCTACGTCGTTGCGCTTTAATTTTTTCGGATACTTGGTAATTTTGAACACCAAGTCCTTCACCTTCCATCTGCTGCCTTGCAGCGCATAACGCTTGGAACGCTTGTCATTTCCTGTACCGACTTTATCTTGTACACCACACCTGGGAAGACTCATAGTTTGAACGGTTTCATCGTCCAAAGAACCTGAAATCACATGAATTTAATCTCACATTCAATAAACATAATTTGATGTATGTTTGGTTGCCAATATTATAACGAGTTGATATAATTTCATCAACATCAATGTTGAATTATTAAGACATGGCTCCGCATTCTCGGTTGTCAGCTTGTCAACAGTCAACAACAGTTATTAATAAAAGTGTAAACTGCATGAGTAACACTTGTCATTTCTTTGTTTGTGTCGCCGTCGTTTAGCGCAACCTTCACCCACATGAATTTCGCCAAGTGTACAATTTTTAATATTCTGATAGTTACAAGTTATGACTACTCGTCAGTTTATTACACTATGAGTAATTTGAATTAAGTAACATTTGTTATTGCATTATACCCAAGTGCAATATGCTGGTCAGAAATAAACGCTTAAACAATATTTTACTCACCAGTGACGTTTAATCCAGCGAAACTTTGAAAATCTGCAATGGCTGATGAGAATTTATCATGATCCACAATGGCACTCGAATTAAATCTTGATTTTGGTATGTATCCAAATTGTGAGAGATATAACTAAAATAAAAATCATACATTTTAATAAATTTATTCAGCTAGAAATACCAATATATACTATAATATTCAAAAAGCTGAGTCACCAATAAACCAAACAAAACCAGTTTTAAAGTTTTTTTGCGAGACATGACGGTGAGTCTATGAATGAGTGCGTAATATGATGCTTAATAGAAATCTGTTTTCTTAGTAATCGACTTATGAGTCAGTCCTAGGTGTTCATTCATAAAAATTCGTGTGCTGTTAATTGTTGATAATATCACACACCAACACTTCAATAAATTAGTCATCAATTTGTTCAATTTGTTTATTAAACAATTGTAAGCTCTTAAAGTTTGTTTCGTCAAGGTTAACTATCAACTATTACGAAAAGCACCTAATTAAAAATCAATACTAAAAGTAATGTTAATAGTAGTTTAATGACACGTGGGTTTAATGTGATTCCAACAATAATATTACAAGCAGGTGAAATGTGTAAATTCGAAAAATTCAGAGTATAAATGCAGGACAAATATTTGTCTACATATCGATTTCATATTATGGTATGATAATAATATAATCAATAAATTTAACAAAAAAGTAATTATTGGACCCCTGAAATTGGAGACGTAAATAAATACCAAAGAATTTAAACAGAAAATACTTGGTATTTATGCATACTGAACAAATAGTCAAGCACAAGTATTTTAATGATAATTAACCAATTTGCATACAAATTGTGTGGATCGAAATGATTAAATCGTTATTTTTGCACGCTCCGTGCGAATTATTGCCGCGTGCCGTCACATTTCACAAAATAAAGCTTTTAAGATCCTGGATGGATACCTTCGAATTATTATGATGCGCATCTTAGCAGATTAGCCATCAAGATAGCACGATCTCAAATTTCAATAACCAATAATAATAATAGTCATCATCGCTGCATTCCAACCCAATGCGAAATATTCCAATAAATATGCAAAAAAAAAATCTCTTGTGCTCACGACCAAATTGTTTACAATAAAAAATATCAATTTATCTGAATGCTTAATATTTACTTTTGTTATTGGTATAGAAATCTGGCAATAATATGATTAATGGCATAAAAATCATTATTTGCATGAGTCACATTGTTTTAATAAATAGATAAGAAGTTATCATAAACAAATGATAATTTGGGCGCAAAACAACCAAGATATAACTTACTTTTATACTTAGATTATCGATAAAACATACATAAATGGTTTTAGATGTTTTTGTGTGTGTTTTATTGGTAAATATTAATATTGCGTTGTTTTTTGCTATCAAATCAATAATAACACAGCATATGTATTTATTTTTATTCTAAATTGTTATTTATGCAACACCCAAATCTGCAACAACCGAATTTCAAACATTTGCGTCAATCTGTAGACATGCGACATACTGACACGATTTTTGCGCAACCAACTTATGAAATATCGGCCATTTTGTGAGTCGTGTAGGTTTAGTCGATAATAGTAATGTTCTATACTTTTATATACTGCACGCAATAAATTAGGTAGCACACTATTTTCAATGTCAAGGTTTCCCTCTCATTGTCCTTTTAATTTAACAAGTTCTACTTTTCCAACCCTTTCAACTGTTTAGTAATATGAAAATGTTTTCCAGATAATGGTGTTCTATGTGTTAGCAATAAATTTCTTTGTGGTTGTTGACACATTAATATTGACCTTTGCACGCATGTTGCATGCCATCGCGGTGTTTGTGTTTTATCGATCGGAAACGTCCTTTTGAATTTTAATTTTAACAATTGCTTGCGTACCCCGCACGTGGAATTTTTCGTGTCGGTGCCGCCGTGTGCCAGCGCATCTCATTGGCGCACCTAATAAATATCTCTCCTCTGGTTAGGTTAGCAATATTCGGACAAACAGCCCCGACAAACAAATGAAGATATTCCAGCCGGCGACGCATCATGAATGTTTGCGTTCTTTTTATTCGTTTGCTTCTTTTATTATGCAAGTGCGACTGCGGCGGTGAACACGATGCGTTGCTTTAGGCCGAGTCATTGTTTTTCTCGCCGCCTGCATATAAAATTACATTTTATGTCCCGCGGTCGTTGCCGGCGCATTGTGTGTCTCTTCTGCGTCGATTGTCGACCTTTGCGATATTCCTGCCGTTCCTGACTCCTTTGAGGAAAGCAATTTACATCGTGTTTCACGATTAATGGCGTCATTATGGCGTGGGTGGCGGGCGCAAGCATACTGATCTTGTTTTCGGCCTTCAACGTCCGTCGCCACATATCACAAACAAACTGCATATATTTATATTCATAAATTTACAGGAATCAAAGAGTTGGTTATAAAAACAACACCGAAATATGTTTATTTAGTTGCCTAGTTTAAAATTCAATTCGGTAAGCACACAAAGTGGGTGTTATTTAATTTCAGCGAATTCATGTTTGCTTTAGAATAGTTTACAATTGAATTAGCGGTTCATGTTGTGTTTGCACACAGGAAATGAGCAAGTGACGAGTCATACAGCTTCCACGCACAGCAATCAACAATGCTTTACACTTTGCAGCATCGCTTTGATCTTGCTTATAACACATACAAACACGCATGGCATGCTATGTTTAAGAACCTCTATTTGTGTTATATTAAATACAGAAGTTATGTGTATGCAAGATGAATCAGTCATAACGATAGAACGTCTGTAAAAAAATGTATGTAGCAAGAGATTTTGTTTAAAAAATGAGTCACAATTTATCATTTCAAGTGGAAATTTTAGATTATTTATTTTATATCTGTCGTAGTTAGTTTATTGCTTTTGTGACTCATCACTACAACTAAAAATTATGGAATATTAGATTTGCCCGCGAATCATGTTGAATAAGAAGCAATCTAACTAATTACTTTCTTGTTTTTGAACTTATTATGCGCCGATGTTCAATTTTAATGGTAACGTATAGAGATTGAATATTAATTGCGATACCAACTTTCATCCCTTATTTTATACCCTTCAAATTATATTTTTGCATCACCTTCTATTACTTGTCCAAAATATCTCTATAACAAAATTGACTCTCAATGTTATTAGGCACAACAAATAAAGAATGTATATTTGCAAAATATAGTCAGAAATAAATATATTCTCTTCACACGTAAAAATCACATTAATTGTAGTTGGATATTTGCCACAACCTTGACCTACACGCTACTTTATTATTACTAAGTAAGCACAGTGTCAACACTCCTATACTTTGCTGATATCCATTTCATAAGTTAGCAATGTTGTACACTACTCATATTACATATTACTACGATTTTACTATTAGCCCACAGTTTACGCATGAATTACCGTACGCCAACCATTTACAAATTTACATAAATCAGCATAGCGTTATGGTTTGGAGCTATGATTCAATTTTTGCAAATTTGCGGTTTGCCTTATAAATTCCATCTTGCGGCTACACTTCCACCTTCCACCTCAACAATTGTTAGATTAACACGAACTTTGTGTGCATCAAACGTAAATTCACATGCGTCATCAATACTCCACTAAAATTTTATTTATTGACATTTTATTGTTAATTTTAATACGACAATATATTTATAATGCGGTGACAAATGCACGTCGTATGAATAATTCATACAAGTTGTACATTTCGGTGAGTTTGATGGTCTGATGGAGTTGAACCACGTTGATTCTTTTGTGCAAACGCGTTTTATTGCGCTAGACTATATAAATACAATATGAACCAAAATAAAAATAACATTGCCCTGTGTCTGTGTGTGGAGTTACACATTTCGGTTGACCACTGTTCGTGCAGGTTGACATTGAGTCTTGGCGCGGTTCATTGCCATTGTCATTAATGCCATTACGAGTCGGGCGCCCATACCGAAAGCGTTCATTTTTCATGAACCCACTCGGAAAGTAATTTATGTACGTAAGGAAAGCATTCGATAAACAAATTACGAGTTCACAAGTATTTACCCGGCCAGGAAATAAACGGGTGTGAAAATTACACTCTGTCAAGTTCAACGTCGTTATTATTAAATGCCACATTACGAAGGACCTCCTAGTAATTATTAATTAATTAAATTGTGTGAAAGAATTAGATTATCCACTGAAAGTTAAAAGTTTCTCAATGTTAAATAACATTTCGTTTATAATTTAAGCCCTTTCACCTAGCGGACAATAGATTATAAATAATAATGACAGTAAAAATTTAATTAGAAGTTTTTTTTTTCATTTGACGCCAATATAAGTCTTTGTTCACAATTGTTTTGTGCGCCCGGAAGAGATGAAACTGTGTGTTGTGCGTCGTCGAGACGTCAAGACACAAGACTAAGTACATACACTAGTATCATATTAATAACTAATGACCTTTAGTTGATGACCTCGCGAAATACGTGGCTATAGAGTTATTGTTACGATATTACTTACTGACTGATTCATTGGTTTTATTTGTATTAATGTGGCAACAAAACACAAAATAATAAATTAATCATAAAACATTTATCAAATTTAACGTAGATATAGATTAGAATTTTTATCGTCTCTGCTTATGTTGTGATAGGTTAACTAAAAATATGTGTATTATATTCAACCCACCAAGCATATGTGCCTATGCTTTGACTTCACATGTATACTAGTAGAACATACAATTTTAATATAACAAATAAAATGTTTGTTAATTCTGTTAAATAAAACCCGTAATAATGTAGCCCTGAACCCGCACAATCACAAATCACTCTTCCACAGGAAATGTCCAACCTGTGAGATTTGATCTAATATCTAATGTGACATTGCATTTGTTCGCCAAAGGTTAACCAGAGCTAATGCATTGCACGCGAATTCATGAGTTCAGCAACAAAAAATGTTGCCATTCAAACGTCAAATTTATACGCAGAATTCATCAGCATGGAATAAACTGACAATATTTACCATTCCAAAGTATACAATCAGTAAAAATATATTAAATCATAACAATAGCAATCATTACATTTACATGCTTTCTGTATTCGTATCACATTCATTTGTCGGAAGCCAACGCGATGAAAAATCATCGCAACCTTCATCAAGGTCTGGCTAGCTCCGATCGAACTTCAAGGATTTGACAGTTAACTTTTGCTATCAACAACAAACGCATAGTAAATTAGAGAAAATATTATAAGTAATAAGACAATAACATTGTTAGTAAGTTTGATTGTACTTTGCGTCATCATCAATCTTAATAAATCTTCAAAACAAATTAAGCTCGACACTACAAAATCACTAAACTCGTTAAATTATTTTGTATACCTACGTTATGATTGCAATTGTGAATTAAACGAAGGTGACAATTACGAATTCATTTGGATGAGCCAGCATGCTAAATGATGGCTCATCCTCGCATTCGTTTAATTACGCTCACGAGCGCGGAAACGCGTTTATATAATTAAATTCGTTACCTGTAACCAATGACGCCGATATCAAATAATTTAATACAAATGTGGAAACGCAGTTCATGGAAACTCAAAAATTTAAAAGCTTCAAATAATTAGCAGTTACAACATTTCCAGCTTTTTATAGGTCAAATATTCTTTAATACTTAATGCGTTTGGTTGTGTGACATATTAGTTTGGTAACCACTTCCTTTCCTTTAATTTTTTCATAGTTTAATCAGATAATATTCATACATTTTACATTAATTGTATAGTTATTGAATTCTGCTAAAACTGAATGAAATTATATAGTATTTTTAAGTGCGTCATCAGCCAAAGTAACATTTCTAATGACTTAGAAGACATCATAACCTCAAAATACCGTCCATCACAACTGTTGAGTGATGAGTATAAAATAAAGAGTCATTTGAGAAGTACGTACAATATATAAACCGGTATTCATTTGTGAATAAAAGTTATTAGAAGAATTATATTGAATCATTGATAATTATAGTTATAAATTAGTTTTGCGTGTGATGTATCAAGGTAAGGTAAGTTCACTAGACTATTTTTACTTCCATTACTCTCTATGCGCTATTTTTATACGAGATGTATGCAAAAATGAATCTGTTGCCATATATTTAATGTTTCATGCTACAAATTGCATGTTTGTCGAAGATAATGTATTGTTTGCACAGGTTGCAACCCAGCATACACGAGCAAACAGGCTAATATTAGACTAATATGGTTTTAGCATTTTATAGATTATAACCTATCAATGTGCCTATTCCTAGTAGGATAATCTGGTATCTTATAAATATTAAATTTATTATTCATTCAATGAGTCAGTTAGACTATCAACAAAATATCATAAAATGGTGTGATGCGTCAAAAACTAGCTGAAATTCAATTGTAGTAACGTCAAGTTGAGCAAAGATGCGTGCGTGTTTACCCGCTAGATAAACGCTTATCTGATAAGATATAAACATACCTAAACGATTCATCGTGAATAATAGAGCATTAAATTTTAAGTTAACGCAATTTGTTCTATTAAAATGTTAAAAATATTTACTTTGCATTTGAATGTAAGTTTAAGAGGTTACAACTTTTGTAATTTCACAAAGTCGCATTTACATATTCTGGGATTCTAGGTACTTGGCGCCTCGGAATTCAAATGAGAATTCATCGCGTGTCTGGCAAAGTGAATAAAGCCCAATGCTGATAATTCACAATGCAAATTTACCCGGTGTTTAACAAAGAGTCTACGACAAAGTAAATTTAGCCTCAAAGAAATTACAAACAGCAACTAATCGATAAAACTTAACCTATAAACCTAACCTAACCTGCGATGTTCCAAGTACCTATGCTAAATACATTGGCGTACGCTCTTTTCGCGGCTGATAATATGATATCTGATAAGATATATATACCTGACATATATTTGATATTTGCAACGCACTGCAGGTAATGAGCTATTTCACGAATTAGTGAAATGAACACTTATTGTGTTTGAAATGAAATAAATGTTTTTTTGTATTGACAAGGCAACAAGGTGGAGCTTATGTATTAACACACGTTCCTAATTCATTGTGTTTGATTTGTGTTTGCCCTTAGTCTCACATGGATGGACATATTTAAATCCGAAAGCGTTTGGGCTCGGTTGGTGCGCGCCAATGGCGGCCACCATTGAATATTCAACGCGTTCAAACGCTCAGTGCAGAAAGTACAATCAATGAAAATCTCATTACACGCACACGATTTATTTGTATTTGTACACATATAGTGAATAAATTAATACAAATAAATTTATACCAAATATATGTTTATCGTGTTTTATCGTTTTTATGTGATTTAATAATACCTACACGTTTTTTTTATAAGTATTCAATTATTCCATGTTGGTTTATTACCTTAACCGACTGAACATGTTGCTAATACGTGTAATTTTCTAACGCAAATTGTTTAACAACGACAAAAACCAAACAGAAACTATAAAAACAATAAAACACGTAACTGAAGTTAAAGAATTGATTTAGTATTGCTCACAGGAGACTAAAACACTCACTAACTACAAAAAGTGAATGTTATAATCAAATCGCGATGCACACAATTATTCACAATCTAACAAATTTATTGTTTTGTTGTTATGTTGTCTGTTGTCTGTATATTTAGTTAATTACTAATTACTAGGAAAATTATCACAACTTACTAGTGCTGAATTGTCATTGATGGGTGCCGCTTGGACATTGTGAACGAAGGAACTCACGAGGACTATCGATATAACACTCAGCCACATTTTAATTATTTTAATTTTTTCTTCTTTCCAAAAATTTAAAAGTTTTTGTTTTGCTGGTTTAAAAATTAGTACATCCGCACTTTGGACTTTTCGAATTATATTTCTAGATCGTGCAACTGTATGATCACATTCACACGCTAAAAATGAGTAATCTCTTGGTGATTTAAAAATGTTGGTTGTGTCTCGCGGCTTCGATTCGAACGCCGCTGCTCGCGGATATGTACTGAGTCGCGACGTGCGACCACCACGCTTTTATTACCTACAGTAGACGGTAGTCGGCAGCGTATAATAATAATCGAACGGGGCGCACGAATCGAACCAGCGTGAGGTTGAAAAGTCTGGTTACGAAGAAATTCGATTTGGTTCATTTCGTTTAATCTGCATAACATCCAAGTTGTTGCTAAAATTTTGCGAAAAAAAACTTAATCATGTAATTTTTGCTGTCTAAAAATAATAAAATCATCTTTTTTTATTCCAAATTGAAATTTAAAGATGGTAAGTATTAATGCTCTAACTTTTTATAATCAAAATAAATTATAGCGTAACTTATTTATAACGCTCAAGGGACTATCGAGGAACAAAAAATCCTATCTTTATATAAAAATTTCTCCAAAATATTAAGATACAATTAGTTTAATAATAATAATACTAAAATTGAATTCAACAATATTTTGAATTTAAAAATTTGCTAGAAATCTATTGGCAAAATGCAAAACACATGTAAACGTAATTGATTTGTAACAAATAAATTAAATTAATCAATCGATGCACGTGTGTAACGACATAGACATAGAGCAATACGCAGATAAATAAAAATGCATAATAATGCAGGTATAGCACACAATGCATGCAAACAACGCACATTTAATTTATCAACAAGCAATTATCTCTTACCTATTTCAATTTGCATTTTGTACTCTGTGGAATATCACTCACACGAACAAATTTGTTTGTTGCATCTTTTTGCAGCCGCTGGAGGCAAAATCGCACGCGAGCACAATTTGTGTGTGAATGTGTGCGATGGACAGCGTTTCCGTGAAATCTCGATTTTTCTCATCGCACATCAAAACATCGAGCGCTTGCATCACAAATATATATCTATACATTTAGTATTCCAAATAGTGTAATACTAACAATATTTTTGCTTTAACGAGAAAAATTGAAAATTACAATGTCGCTATAAATATAATGCCTGTGTTAGGAATTTGATGCGACCTCGCTATTATCGTGAACAGACAATGCTATTAGTAGTTAAATATATAAATATCATTGATGGAGAGATAATTTGCTTAAATTTCATGCGATTTCGTTGCTATACTGGTGAAAACAGCAGAAAACAGCATAGGATAATGGTAAACGTAGTGTGTGTCTATGTATCTATCTACGCATATGAATAAGCAATTGATGCGTGTGTGCTAACTTTACTAGGTTTTTCATGATTGAACAAATTTGTTCAGCAAACAAAACCCAAGTGCGTGCGATACAATAAAAATTAGACCAATGTATGTTTCAGGTATTTAAGAGACGCTTTTTAAACGAGTTCAATGTCAACATAAACTTAAATTATATTTAAACTATAGTTGTTATCGTTTTTTATTGTGGGGAAGTAAATAATAGAAATTTGAAATTATTTTTTAGGGTAAATAAAAGTGTGTTAAACTGAAATTTGAGACACGCAAGAACAAACAGTTCTCTCTAGATCGAGAAAATCGTTATTAAAATATTGAATTATAATTTTATTATAAAAATGACTTTACACTGTACATCTGTATATTTTTAATCACAAAAATATGATTTGACAATTTTTGGGATGCTATCTTAAATCTTTTATAACACCACTTGTGCCTTATTACAAAATTATAAATAAATTATTATATGGTATTTTATGGTATTACTTAAAATGAGATATATTCATAACTTTTTATAAAATCGTTTTTTTATATAAAATTGTTCTATACATTTTTCAATTTAAAACATTTTAGTTTTTCTTTTTTTATAATTTTTATAAAATAATTTTTATATAGTGAATCTGTTAATTCCATAATTGTGGCATGAAAGTTTGGTCTTGGAAATTGTACGTGAGTAACCTAAAGAAACAAGGTGAAAAATACTTAAAATAACCACAAAATAATATAGAATTAAATGTTACTAAAGTCTTGAAATTAATAAAATGAGTTAAAAAGGGATAATTCAGTGTGCAAAATTAAACTTTTAAACTATTTACGCTAACCGTCCTTTCTGGCCCTTTGGTGGACAAAAATAGACAATTTTTCAGCATATTTCAACGACCAAAATAAAATAAAAATTTTAATAGTTTAAAATATATTACAATTTACAATAAGTTGTTCTTGTCTAACATTTACATTAGACGTACATTACAATGTGTTTAGATATAGATATTTCTAATAAAACAATGCAAGACACGTGCGTCGTGTTCAATGTCTTCTGTTGCGTTTTGGTTCCGCCGAAATTAATACATAATCACAGTGTTTCGTATTGGGAAGACAACTCGCCAAGTCGATATCGGTCGGAAGTGGATTCATCTGCGCCTCCACGTGAATAGAAATATTTTCGGCGAGTGTCACCGATCGCATTTGCTTCCGTACAAAACGAAAAAGGTTACACACGCTATGCGTGATTAAAATTAATGACCATTGCAATTTACAAACTTAACAGGAACTTAAAATTGGATTCTACAATTACTAAAGTGAATTTTCACTGAAATCCTTAATATTCAAACAAACAGTTTTAAGCAGTAATCAATACATCAATGGACAGTCCCGGAACCACAAGAACAAGTCATCAATAAATTAAAACAATGGGTTTATCTTCAGATTACATTAATTTATGCAAAAAAATCACGTTCGGTGATTTACGACGTCGGAAATAATTGCTATAGTAAGAGTTATAGTAGGTTTAAAATATTTGATGATACATTAGTCATCGGGGTGATTAAAACGTCTTGTGGTGGTTATGGCGTGTCCATAAATTCAGTTCACAAACTTTTTCGATTGATTTCACGCCGCCGTCAAACACGTGCGAACAATGTGCATAGCAAGCGGATGATTAATCCAAATAAAATGCGTAAACGGCAAAGAATGCAACGATGCACCACCAGCTGCCCTTAATTTTACAGGATCGTATTTATGTATTTCTAATTCATATTCTAATAAAATGATTCAACTAGATTGAATTCATAGAAAAATTGTGTTTGTTTTTAAATGCATCACTGCAATTTACTTTTATTTGAGTAACTTGCTCGAGAAAACGATAAATTCGTCAATGGCCTGATGACTCATTCGATGAAGAGTGCTCCTCGCGATATGCGCGCCCGGCGACTTGCGAAAATCGCTTCAAATTTATAAATAAATTCGTAAGCGTGCCGCCGCCATGTGTGCATCGCAAGAGACGCCCATGCGCGCCGCGCCAGACCGACTCAAGTCGATTTCGGCGTATTCGGCGCATTTCTTCAGCGTGGATTGTAATATTTTGTGGCGATGACTCACACGCACCCATTAAATGAAGAGCGCTTAATCAGTGTTGGACTACACAGCATGAACTGTTCTTAAATATATTTTAACCACATTTGCAGATAAAACATTATCAATTTATGACAAGGACATAACCTATCTTAACCTAACATCAACAGAGTCATAATTATTTCACATTAACTGCGTTTAATCGTCAAAGAACTTGTTATAACGAAATATAGTTTAGTCAAACAAGTGTGTGTAATATAACTCATAAATAATACAATTAATGCGTCAGGAGTTTTAATTTACTATTAATGTTTAATTAAGTAAGAATGATGATTAATCACATTGTTTAATTGTTTATATTTTGTTTGGTTAAAACGCAGGTAGCTGACCTCAAAATGACAGTTTCCTTTACATTTGTAAATTAATCCATATCGTGCTGAAATATCTTTTGGAAGCTGAAAACCCACCAATTAAATTGACGTAAATGTATCAATTTGCGTCATTTTATGCAATTTATTAAAACAAATGCAGTCATTCTGTGAATACCAGGTCCATGTGTTTCCTATTAAGACTCCATATTGCATCGAAATGGGTTTTCCAACTGAAAGAAACAAATTGCCATGAAGAAATCTTAATTTCAGCGTCATGACATGACAACGCATCATGAAACATCAAACCCGCCGACAGTCTGAGTCTAATTACACATTAATTGATGATTTTATTTTACCACAACATCATCTCACTTAAGATGGCGGCGGTTTGAGTAACGTAATGCGCGAATCCGCGCATGCAGAACAATGCACGAAATCAATTACAAGCGTAATATTTTCACCGCGATTAAATAATGTTAAATAACACTTGTGTCAATGCATCGCGGTTTGTCGAAAGAAATCTCTTATCGAGGCGTGGTGCAATTTGCTCGGTTGATTTTTTCGGGTTTGTAGTGAAAGCGATTGGATAATTTGCATTATATGGCGGTGGGCAACGCTTGAGACGAACTACTTCGATTAAAAAGTCAGCAACAATCGTTGTTTTGTGTAAGGCTGGGCGGAGTGCGCAGCGGACGAAATTCGATCACTGCATTTGATTCTTTTTCCGTTTTATGCCGATTTGCATAATGACTCATGTTTTCTACACCTGAACCCAACTGAGCGTTGTCGTAAACGTTAAGATTTGACAATGTAATGTAATACATTTTAAAATATTCAACATAATGCGCTGCTGTGACAATACTTGTCTCTTAACCTAGTTTTTGTAAAAATTTTGTAATTGTGTGACAACCAACTCAATGTCTTAATTCAACCTTGTTATTTGTTAACTTAAAGGGCTTGATAATGTTTGTTTTATTAATAATATGTAAGCGTAATATTACACAATTCGGTGCGCACCCATGTTAATAAACACAAGTATACCACTATCTTCCAAGTGGAACTTCTGATAAGTGTTAACAGAACTGCTTTTTGGGAACCACATTGTTAATCACCGTTCATCGTTAATCATGTTATGTTAACAGGAAGTGTAAAACAATGCACAATGTGCGTAGTTAAGTATTTCAGAAAAGTGTATTAATCAATAGAGAATCGACGCTATGATACATACTTTAATCTTATTTAAGGTTTAATTACATTATTGTAAGTTTTTTTTTCTTTGGTAAACATTTGAGATCACTATGTCGTACGTAATTGATAATTAAAACTATCGAAAAGACGTTTTAAGATATGCAAAAGCTAGCAGGATACTTTATCGAAACCTGGAATCGTTAGATAACCATTGTGAAAAACGGCCTTGTCGTTGGCAGTATTCAGGCTATACGCAAGTAGTTTTTCCGCCGCCAATGGATGCCACACGCCGAAGGTGCACGCAGGATTGTCTTCAGTGTCGTAGTAGTGACATTTCTTCGTGACACGCTTCGAAGGCATGTATTCAAACATATTCACTATATCACAATGTGGCAAGAGAACTGCTAAACCTGCAATAGCACAAAATTGCCTCTGTTTATATATTTAATTGCAACTATTTATTACTCACCTAAAAACCGGAAGATGGCGGATTGCGTCTCAGTCTGCTCGGTGAATTGTGCTGCAAAAGTCCCACAAGTTCCACAGCGATTTCGGATTCAGGAGGTACACCTTCGTCTTAGGATTACGTCTGCGAAAGGTCAAATAGTTGGGAAAAGGTCATGTTCAGGATGCTGATACCATTCTTCCAGTGTGGACGTATAGTTACTGGGATCCCACGCCAGTATCGTGATGTTCCTGTAGATCTTCGATTCCAAGAACTTGAAGCGCTCCTTGCTTACTACCTGTGAGTTCAAAATGCGGATTGTTGTTTTGCGCCCGACGTCCAACTGATGCCCGTCGGTGGGCGCATGGTTAAACCGCAACACAACGTCGTGATTATCTGCAACAAAGCAGCTATTCAAATCCAGTGCAAAGTTCAACTCCAGTCTGGAAATACCAATAACTTCATTAATTCTTACCGATGAAGTGTCCCAGACGCGAGTTCACCAACGAACCACTACTTGCAACAATCGCGCAGGTCTTATACTTCTTATTTTCGAGAAAATCGCGTTTTGGTATGAAGTCTTTGAACACGTTACGACTAAAGGGTTCCTGTGTGCGACGGGCTGTGCTCACGTTGACTTTCTTGAATTCGCACATGAGCACCTCACGGTCTTTATTCAGGTGGTTCTCACGTGCGCCCTTGTATTGCACGTTATATGGGTTCTGATTGTCCAACCCTGACTTGAGGACGTTGCCCTCGTCCATGAACACCCGCTTCAACTCGTTGAGAATCTTCTCCTTGTATTGCTTGATTTTGCTATCACATTCGTTTGTACTGTCGTTGAACAGGCAGGTATACTTTTGGGTGTCCAGCACGAAGTCGTCCCCTGTAAATTAGGGAACCGCGGGCGGGCATTTTTGATAATAGTAACATTGTCAACATCGCGAGTACTGTGGTGTTTGGTGTTGTTGCTTTTGTGGCTATGATCAGATTTAGATGTGTCGTTGAGTGGCAGTCCTCGATTATAGGAATAGATTTGTTGTTCATAGTTGTTCGTTGTTGCGTAGACATCCTTCTCGATGTACATCCAGTATTGAGACCAGAGGACGTACATGTACCCGCACATGCCAAAAATATTAAATTTATGAAGACCCATATTGTCACCACCAACGCTCGCATTTTCCCTGTAAATAATTGAACCTTGTTTATAACAAGAAAAACATTGGAAGCTTCTGGATTGATAAATAAATGTGTTTGTTTTCTTCGATAATTTGCTACGGAACGGAATCTTAAGTGCTTTACATTTTGTGGACCAAAACAAAAGCAACTTAGTAGCAAACATGGAAAATATCTCAATAAAAAGGTATTAATTGCCCAACTATTTTTAACACAATTAATTCAGGTATAAATCTACAAAAATGCGTAGTTTCGCGTATAAACTTTCCGAAAAACACCCATATGCATAACTAAGTAGAATAAATTGTCGTCAAACAGTTTATTTTAATTTTTGTCATTGCTGCTTGTTGTCTAGGTAGACGCGCAGCGTACAAATAAAAAGCGAAGAGGAGAACCTTGAGTCGAACGAACGTGATCACGCTAATTTTATTGTCATTGCGGAATATTTAACATCAGGAAGTGATTATGGTGGAAGTTATTACAATTACATGTGTGATACCTATGTTTCACAGGCGGGCTTGTTTTCAAAAACATATTTTTCCAGTGAAACATGCGCAAAACCGAACCAATTCCTACTAAAAGCCAACAACCTATTATCAGCAAATAACAATGTACTTCAGACGCAAAACTGCAACTCATAACTTTTCTTATGAAAACAATGTTGAATCATCAAGCAAATCTAATTTTATTACACTGCAAACCAATGTAAGACCCTGTACATTGGCAGTTCTCGTTCGTCGTGATCTAATCGATATTTCCATCTCAAGTCTGCAGAGTTTTGAGGTTAAATTCGTGTGCGAAGCGCCTCCGAGTAAAACAAATAAAAAGTAACAAACGTTCAAATCTAAATTGCATAACTAATTGTGACAAAAGTGCACTACAACAGTACGACATACATACTTACAAGATTTGTTTTCGTCCGTAATTTCACATTTTAAAGCCTTGAATCGAGTCACATACAGCTCACAGCGTCTGTGTGTTGGTACACCGACCAATGAGCATGCGTATAATATGAATTAGAAAGACCGTCAACTTTGAATATAACGCACGCCATCGGAATCACCATTCAATATTTAAATATAAAGCAAGATGACGATTTCGGTAAAGGAAGAGTTCAAACGAACATGGGTCATCTCCACTCTGGGCGCAATTCTTACAGTCGGCGGAATCTGGTTGTTAATTTGGAATGAAGGACGGGCCGTACACCACGGCAACTCATTGGATGAAGCTTTTAACAACGTGGTCCCTTTGAACATCTACGAGCCTGTACAAGCAGAACTAGACGGAAGATTAGTCCACATCAGTGGAAATCTCCTGATTGATGAACCCCTAACCGAACCGGAGTATACCATCGCAATACAAGCAGTGAAACTGAAACGTCGCGTTCAGATGTTTCAATGGGTTGAGGAGAGGGTGCTGAGCAATTATGCGGATACAGATGCGCAATATTCAGAGAGCGCTCGAAATCGAGATGATTCAGATTATTACTACGTCACCGAATGGAGAGATAAGCTTGTCGACAGCAGCAGTTTCTACATACGGCATGGACACCAAAACCCCAAAGAAATGATGCTCAAGTCACACATCTACATCTCGCCTTCTGTTCGCGTTGGAGAACTGACGATAGGATCGGAAATCAAGGATAAATTCAACGACTATCAGGAGATGACCAGCGACGAGCGACCGGATAGAAGAGATATCAAACTGCATCTCGGAATTTATTATCATTCGCATGACGTGTGGAAACCGGAAGTCGGAGATATTCGCGTTCAGTTTTACTCAGCAGGTCATAATGGTGACCCGGTGACCATTGTGGCAATGCAAAAGACGGTAACTTGGTGCCTTTCACCACCTCGAAAAATCACCAGATTGCGTTGTTACGACACGGCTTGTTCAATATTAAACAAATGTTCGATTATGAACATTCGGATGTTCGTTTCGAGACATGGAAAATGCGTATCGCGGGTGTTTTCGTCCTTTATGCTGCCAGTGTTTTTCTAGCACCAGTAATTAGGGCTTTCACTGTGAAACTACCGCGGCATTTGGCGCTCGCTGAAATTCCGCCTTCAACTAGCTTTACGATCGCGTTTTCCGTTGCACTTTTCGTGCTTTCCACAGCGTGGATCGCTCATCGTCCATGGATCGGAGTCGGGCTTTGCACAGCGTCGTTTAGCCCTTTGATATATACGCTGATGTCGATTTACGGGCGCTGATGAAAAGCGCCTGGCGTCGAGTGAAAAATCGATTCGAAGACGCTCTTTTATGAACTCCCAAGCTAGTTAACAACCGAACTGTACCTTGATTCCCCTCCCAGTGTCACATCCAGTCGCGCATCGCGAGTTGGTTGGGTTCATGAGAATGAGTTCATCATGAGCTCTTTTTACGTTTGGAATTTGGTATTTCTTTTAGTTTGTGTTTTCGGTATCGTTTCGTGTAATAGAGAGCAGTGTGTCGCTAAGAACGGTAACAAATGTAAGAGCGAAAACAATGAAAGTAATAAATATTCAAAAGGTAAATGACAAGTGTTCTAGTGGTGATCAATTCAAATCCAACCTCAAACAACTATCTTTCAATCTGCTTAATCCAGACATTATTTTGTTATTCAAATTATTATTTTACAGAGAGTAACGAACGATACAGTTTTTATTTAAATAAAATTACTGAAGCAAAAGCCAATTATCATCCATGTGAAGCTACAAAATGTAATTGTCACTCAAAAGTGATTACGCATGATTTAAAACCATTCAAAGGTGGCATATCGAAAGAATTAATTGATTCTGTAAGGGAAAAGTAAGTGCTTTATATAAATTTAATGTACTAGTACCAATAAAATATAATTTCAGGGGTACAAGATATCAAATAATGAATGGAAAGATATACAGAGACAAAAACTGCATGTTCCCAGCAAGATGCTTGGGAATCGAACACTTCTTGTTTGAAATATTGCCTAAACTACCAAACATGGAGTTTGTGATAAATACGAGAGACTGGCCACAAATCAATAAAAATTATGGATTGTTTGGGCCTGTATTCTCTTTCAGCAAAACTTCAGAGTTTTATGATATCATGTATCCTGCCTGGGCATTTTGGGAAGGTGGTCCAGCTATTTCACTCTTTCCTAGGGGCATTGGTAGATGGGACTTGCTCAGGGAACAGTTGGGAAAAGAAGCTAACAAGACATATTGGGAGCAGAAAGAGACAAAGGCATTTTTAGAGGTTCTCGAACCTCAAGTGAACGCGACACTTTGATTCTGCTTTCTCGAGAACATCCAGATTTAGTGGATGCTCAATACACTAAAAATCAAGCGTGGAAATCCGATGCCGATACTCTTCATGCACCGCCAGCCAAGGAAGTATCTTTTAACCAACATTGTAACTATAAATATTTGTTCAATTTCCGTGGAGTTGCGGCGAGTTTTCGATTCAAGCATGTTTTGCTGTGTAAGTCGCTGGTATTTCACGTCGGTGACGAATGGCTTGAATTTTTCTATCCGTCCTTAAAGCCATGGGTCCACTATATTCCTGTAGATCCTAAGTCAACAATGAAAACATTAAAAGAGCTTATCGAATTTGTCAGGGAGCACGACGAATTAGCTAAGGAGATTGCCGAAAACGGTTTTAACATGATATGGAACCATTTGCGCATGAAAGATGTCAATTGTTTCTGGCACAAACTACTTAGGAAATACGCCAAGCTATTGACATATAAAGTGGAGCGAAACGATGAACTGATTGAAATTTGGCATTAGACAAATTCTAAACGCATAGATCGCTATACACAAGTACTTAATGGAAAATATCTCAAAGCGTATTTTAAATATTTCGGGATTATATTCTTTAGAGCTATTATATTGGCTTGTGATTGTCCCGTAAATGAAAATTAACTTATACTCTAATCAAATTACAATGACAATAACTACACATTCATCTTCGATGAAATCTGTCGAAATGAAGCAACAATCTATTAGCTGTTGAGTAAATGTGATAAATGTTCTGTAATATGAGATGACAATAATGCAAACAATAATTAGTTTTAAGAAAATCTTGAACAACGTATACACACACAAAGAAGTTATATGTATTTCAGTGAATATCGACTTTTAAAGTTTTACCCATTTACGAAGATTATACGTGACTATGACAATAATTGTTTCAAATGAAACGACATCAATACGTCCGTAAAATATTATAATCACATCATTTCTAACAATCATCTCAATGAGAATTAAAATGTATGATCACAATATTGAGCATATCTAGCTAAATATCAAAAATAAACTTTGAGTCAAATATCAAATCAATAAAAACGTAGGATAGGAAATAGGAAATAACGATAGTGTGATGAAGTAAAAGTATGCTAATTACTGCAGAATACCTAATCTATGAACCTTCTAAGCTTGGCTTGTATGTTGTGATATTTTAAAGTTTCTATTATACCCCTTTGAATGTCTATTTATAATCGTAAATGTTGTATTTGTTATCATGTAATCGTTGATGTTAGAGATTATAGGGTTTTGATGTTCGATGTTTTAGAAGACAAACATTGAATTGTAGAATATAGGAACTATTACGTCTCTAGAATCAATCAAAATTATATCCCAAGAAAATAAGTTTCAAAACTTGTTACTACCAAAGTAAAGCAAGACACAGTTGCTTATTAATTATCACCTAATAAGATGAAATATAAATTTTGATGTAATTGCAAATCTAGAGTATTAGCCAAATAATTAATGTGTGAAGCCTCATAATCAATGTTGGTGTATTCAACTCTTAGCACGTTGACACATATTAGTAGAAAGATATATACTCAATAATTGAAATTAATGGATCTATTAGTAAACTATCCTATTACTGTGAATTGATTGTTGAGCAATTTGTTCCTTATAATGCACATTCCAGGTTTGATTGTACTATTTTTGTACTATTGTATTATTTTTAGAAAATGAAACTTGTTTGTGCAATGCAAGCAACACATTTCTCTTTAAATAATACAATAATGCCCTTGTTAATATATTGTTGACATTTTCTTCAGTATAATCCCATTTTAAACTATTACACAAGAATATTTGTTACCGTTGAGATAATGCTATAGAAAATCAATTATTAAGTTTTTATGTATTCTAAAGTTTCAGTTAGCTCTTACCATTTTAACTAACTGTAATGCTCGAAAATAAATTAATCAATGTGTAGTACAACTCCCATTTATTAAAAATACCATTCTCATACAAGAAATCATAAAAATTCAAATTTTAGCAATAAAATCAATAATTGCACAAATTCCTTTGCTAAAATTCAAAGTCATCACATTCTACAACTATATAATACTCAGCGACAATAAATTATGTTACATAAAATCATAAAATTAAAATAAAAATCGAATGATTGACACTATCTGATTACTTTTGTGGGGATTTAAAGAGCAACGTTCTTTTCATTTAGTTTCATGCGTACTTTTTAAGCGCAATGATTAACGACGCATAAATTATATGACCTGAAGGCACTGTAAAATTATTTTAAAACGCTTACGAGCGTTAATCGATTTGCCTCTGAGCGCTTAATAACGCTTGCTAATGTTAATATCGTGTTTTCGATCTCCCATCCTCGCCGTAAAATTGCCACAAGTACCTCAAGTTTTACACGTTTACAAAACGCTATCGATGTCGACGGTATGATCGCTACCGTACAGGAATTCGTAGATAGAGGATGCTAACTGATCAACTTCGTCAGGGGTTTCCTTAGTTGCACGACCTGTGCGTCTGAACTCAACGCCATCGCCATCAAAATCTTCGTCGGCGACGCCAGCGTACTTCTCACGTACGTCTTTCATGATACAAGCTTCCAGCTTCTTGTGCTTATAACACTTGAAGAAGAACATTGGGCGGACAAGCTCTCGTGAGAGCGGTGAGCGTTCTTTTCACATCAGGGATACATTGCTATAATTTTACATGATAAATTATTAAACTTCCTACAATTATTTTGTTAACTACTGACCGAAAATTGTTGGCAGAAAACAACACCATCTTGCATATCACGTTTAAGTTCATCTGACACGGGCAAATTTCCAATTCGCTCTGAGATCTTTTCAAAGTTAGGTTCTAGGTTTTCGTCCAAATAACCAAGTTCCTGCATGACGCATGTTACATTGCGGACTTTACCACTAGTGCGGGATGTGATAGCATCAAGTTGGTTTCTGATATCCATGTCGCGCTATAATAAATTCGCCATTTTATTAGACCAGAATGTTGCTTTGAATTCTATAAATTTCAACCTACCGAAACGCGGTTGCTGGAATAATATTGTGGTCCAAAGTATGGGAAGCTAGAGTATGATTGTGATGGAAATGCTTGTGGTTGATATCCTGGATATACATATGGCACAGCAACGGGGGCCTGGGGATATCCTCCGAAGTAGTTGGGCTGTTGGTACGGCCGATATTGTGCGGCAGCCGCAAATGGATTCTAGTCCACAAACAATAATTAAAGAAAACTAGACAGTTAAATATTTAAGTTCTTACATTGAGTGGTCTGTAAGATAGAATAGCCTGTTGTAGTTTCTCTGGATCAATAGTTTGTTGATTGGCATACATAGTATTCTCGGGATCAGCGATTTGCGGTGGTATCTGCGGTTCCCGGTTGTCGTAACTGCCATGAGGTGGTGGCGGAGGCCGGGGTAATGCTTGTGCGGTCGGCTGTGGTTGTTCATAAGTTGCACACTTTGCACAAGCTGCTTTCATTTCTTTACGGACTTGTTTCACCACTTCAGGACCAAAGCAACTCTCGTAAATCTTTTAAAATAAAATAAAAACATATTATTAACAATGCTTATAAAGTAACAAGTTCAAATTTGATTGTTAGTTTTTGTGAGTGATTATTACAAATTGATTTTGATAAATTACTGGCAGTCGTCTTTCTTCATGGCTACTTGAGTACAATTGCAAGTTTTGTTTGATCTCTGAATATGAGTAATAAAATTATTAGTTGTTAACGGTACTAGCGTATTTGCCGAGTAAAAGCAGACGAGTGAACGGAACGTGTTTGCCAAACATGTTTAGCCACCTAGTGCGAATGGGGAATTTGTCCGCGCGTTTGAAATTATTTGCGAAACGGTATATTTTCGCGTGCGAGGAGACAAAAATAATGAAATTAAATCCATGCGTTGCGAATCAGTTTTTAAGTAATAAATTACTTTGGAATTCTAAAGTGGGCAAAATGCA